TCGTGCCCTTTTTCCGCGGCCCATAACAGGCGGCGTCCGCCGCCGCTCATCCTTCGACTCGACGTCGACCTTGCCCGTAGCGAGCAGCAGCTTAACGACAGCCTCGTGCCCTTTTTCCGCGGCCCACGACAGCGGCGTCCGCCGCTCATCCTTCGACTCGACGTCGACCTTGCCCGTAGCGAGCAGCAGCTTAACGACAGCCTCGTGCCCTTTTTCCGCGGCATACAACAGCGGCGTCCGCCGCCAATAATCCTTCGAGTCGACGTCGACCCTGCCCGTGGCGAGCAGCAGCTTAACGGCAGCCTCGTGCCCGTTCTCCGCGGCATACGACAGCGGCGTCCGCCGCACATTATCCTCCGAATCGACGTCGACCTTGCCCGTGGCGAGCAGCAGCTTGACGGCCCCGTGCCCGTTCTCCGCAGAATACGACGGCGGCGTCCGACCTTTCTCATCTCCAATATCGATCTCAGTGCCAATTTTGTCTGCCCTTTGCAAAATAACACTTAACAGCCCTACCACCTGATACCTCGACGCAACGTGTACCAGGCTGGTCCCTCCTCGTGGACAATCATGGGAATATCCATCCAGGATTTCGTAAACCCGCACCCATAAATCCACGAGAGCGTTTGATGGCCAAGCAAAACATTCCAAAAGATCATCTTGAGGGACATTTTTCTTATCGCTATGCTTCGCGTGCGCTACCCACGAGGTCGTAGCGTAATGCAAAAAGGCAAAGTCGTGACGCTCGTAGCTTGTTGACTGACCGATCTCCTCCATCGCCAAGTAGCGTATGCAGATCTTGGACAGCCGGTGGTGTACCATTCCGATTGCCGTACCGGTCGACGTCGCGCTGCTGTCCAAAGCTGAGAGGTTCTTTTCGACGAAGTCCTTGACGGACTGATGGATGAACTGGACAACCTGCCCATTGGATGACGGCACGATCTCTGCGAGACCGTGGCTCAGAGCTTTGATTCTTGTGTCAATTTTTTCGTCGGTGATGAAGTCTTCCGACGGCTGACATTCGTCGAGTGACTTGTGAATGCCGGCCGGATCAACTGCCATGGCCCATTGCAGCTCGTCCGTTGTCAAAGGCCTCGTGGAAAAGCAAATCCATTGGATCAGGTCCAGGGAGTATGGTTCCATGCTTTCGATAAGTTTGTGGTATAGCTCATCGAGAGCCGGAGGGGTAGACCGGATTACCGCTTCGATTGTTCCCAATCGTTTACCCTCGCGGTCAAGGTCCAGAACTTGCCTTACCACGAGCCGCGCCCACATAAAAACGCCTTCGGCGCGAGCCGTGATCAAAGCCGGAATCGTAAACGATCGCATATGAAACGCAGAGAGTTGATCTTGCACGTAGGCCGAAATATCATCTCGGTTTTCGTTTTCGAGGCATATTTCGAACGCACCGTCCAGGGCCAGAATTGGGTAGTGACGACAAGTGAAGCAGACGCGAAAGGGGTTCCGGAGCAGGGACTCGAACCACTTGACCAGGTCGACCGCATTCCGTTCGCCGCATTCGTCTAACGCGTCGACAAACAACCAAACTGAGCGAGTTTTTAGAACGTTCGGAAGAGATAGCTCGAAGAAGCGCTGTAGTTGTTTCTGATGCCACTGCCACTTTTCACCCGGTTGACCGAATTCCTTGCGGTTTTTTTCGAAAGTGTCAATAAGATCGGGCAGTGCGTTGGGCACTTGGCTGAGGAGCTGATGAAGGAGTGACCTGTAGAGGCCAAGCGGGGTCCTTTCGAGTTCATGACCGCGATCGTGGAAAAAGAACGAGAGAACGAGGGTGGTGTTTCCGGCTCTGGGCACGGCTCCATTATCGAGGGCGTACTTAAGCAATGTCGACTTCCCAGAGCCCGGCTTTCCCTTGATCCAGAGCAGGCCTCGATCGCAAGCGGCCCAGCCCCGATACGTCTCGTGTCGAAGCAGCCACTCGCATGTCCCCGTGACGGCGTGGTCAATGTCATGGGAGCGACTGTGCATTTGCGGAAAGGCGAGCGATCTGAGGCAATCTTGTGATGGCTGTGGAGGTTCATATGTGTCTAAGCGATACGATTAGGTTTGAAAAGTGAAATAAGTCAATGTTGACTACGATGGGAAATGGAAACTAACATGCGCTGACATATGTTCGCTGGTCTATCTAGCTAGTTAGCCTCCTTGCCCGCCTTTTAGTTTGAAGAGTTGTCGCCGTCATCCGAAGATTTGGGCTTTTGGGGCATGTCCTACGGAGAGGGTAGTTCGACGGATTGAGCATTGATAATTTCTAAAAAGATTCAAACTACTTGCCGATACTGAAATTGCCACCCACGTCGCGAACCATGGCCACTACCCCATCCCTGTTTTTGATGTTGTGGCTATTGGTGTTGTGGCTATCAGTCGTAGCGTTGTGGCTATTGGTCGTGGCGTTGTGGCCGTTGGTCGTGGTGCTGTTGCGGCCGTCTGAGTTAAGCCTCCGTCTCTTGGAGACGTTTTCCATGGCGCCGCCTGGCACCTCGTATCTGTCTAGGATCGCCGCGGCCACCGAAGCCGCCGTTGCCGCAGCGAAGTTCTGCCATTCCTTGTTTTTGTGGCTGTCGGCGTAATCACAGATGCCCTTGACGACGATGCAAGAGACCTCCTTCCAAGCCCCGGCCCCTTCCATTTCGAAGGCGATCACGTCGTGCTCCTTGGCAACTGCGTCGCGGTGTTTGCCCGACTTCATAACTGCGTTGCCGCAAGCCACCCTGCCCATGAAAACCTGGGGGACGAGCTCCACCGGGCGCTCCTGCTGTCGATTCTGTCTCGGGGCACAGCGGCCTGTTTTACACCCAGCCTCGTCACAGGAGAGCTTGGAGGCCCGTTCGCAAAAGCGCGGGGGGTCTGCGTCACAATCGTCACAGTCTTCCCTGTGGTGACTGTGCTCGTAATCCGCACGAAACATCCTGTCGGTAGCGTCGGTAGGAGGGCTGTAGCTGGTCCCCAACTCCTTGTCGGCGGCGGTGGCGGCGGCTTGTAGAGTCACCAGATTCGCCCTTGCCTTTTTCTGCAGGCGGCCCAGCTCGTCCTTGCCTTCCAAAAGCTCGAGCAGTCCGCGGATATCGGTGTTGGCTTGCCCTAGTGTCTCCTCAATGGACCTGACGACGAACTTATCTGGGTATTGCCTGCCGAAGTCATGGTTGAGGATGCTCTTGCTGACAATCACGTCACCCAAAAAGGCGTCCCGACCACGGATTTGGGGCAGACCTCCGCAAACACCGACGATCAGGGCAAGTTTGATGTTGATATAGCTCGATTGCAAGCTCCTTGCTCCTGCCGCCGATGCCTCCATCCCCATGCCTGGGAGTAGAAGGAGTACGACGGAATGGTAACCGATGCGGCCCGTCGTGTATGTGTTGGTGTCGCCGGTTTCGCGTCCGTACTTTTCCTCGTAAATGTCGTCGAAAAGGAGCCTTACAGCGTCCGATTCGATGCCCAACGCACAGATGATGGCTAGATGGAAGCCGCTGCGGTCGACCGGTGGAAACATGGTAAATGGCAATGGGGGGCAACGAAACGGAGGAGGAGAGAGGGTACGAAAGAGAAGAGATGTGACTAAGGAGGAGAAGCGGCAAATATGCTATGATTGAGTTTTTGTTTTGGGTAAGGCAGCATCAAAATGGTAGGAGGAATCGAATGGCGCACGAAGCCGGAAAATGTATAAACTAAAAACAGTGCCAGCATAAAACAAGCTGTCCAAAGTTTGAACTGCAGGATAAGAGGCGCACGGAATGCGGACGTAAAGGACGAGGGAGAGGTAAAAGGGGGAGGAGATGAACAGGAAGAATAGGAAGAACAGGAAGAATAGGAAGAACAGGAAGAATAGGAAGAACAGGAAGAATAGGAAGAACAGGAAGAATAGGAAGAACAGGAAGAATAGGAAGAACAGGAAGAATAGGAAGAACAGGAAGAATAGGAAGAACAGGAAGAATAGGAAGAACAGGAAGAATAGGAAGAACAGGAAGAATAGGAAGAACAGGAAGAATAGGAAGAACAGGAAGAACAGGAAATCGGATGGGAAGACAGGCTTTGTTT